AGTATGTGCCTATTATTATGTTTGTTGACCAAGTGAATCAGAGACAATGAATGGCTTGCTCAAGGCTACACATCTAGAGGTGGAAGGAGCCCTAGAATCTAGGTCCAGTTACTCCTGATCCAGAATTGGCCTCCTGCCCCAGGACACACTGGGTTCTCCAGACTTCAGTCACCAGCCAAGTCCACCATCATTCCAGAGTTCCTTTTATTCCATGTTCAAAAGGGTCCACTACCCACAGGGCAATATCTCCTTTTTAAAGTCATATACACTTTCTTTTATCTTTGGAACAAGGCAGAGTGGAACAAAGGTGATTTCCAAATTATGCTTGAATCAGTGCCTAAACAGCAGTTTGAAATCTTAATGATTAGGCTGTACTAACAAAATTAACAATCTATATACAGCATACCTAAGCACTGATATTTTATTCTCAAAATGACCCACTGAGGTAAGCAGTAGTATTATTCCCACTTGACAGATAAGGAAACTGAGACTCCAAGGGCTGATAGTCAAGTCACCTCTTTGTACATTACCCAGCGGGTAATGGCAGTATCAGGGTTTGAACTCTAGTCTGACTCCAATGACAGAGCATTTAGCACCCCTTTTTTTTTTTTTAAGAAGGCGTTTTGCTTTGTTGCCCAGGCTGGAGTGGGCCAAGATTGCAGTTGTACAATATTGACTGATTGCAACCTCCACCTCCCAGGTTCAAGCAGTTCTCCTGCCTCAGCCTCCGGAGTAGCTGGGATTACAGACACCTGCTACCACACCCAGCTAATTTTTGTAATTTTAGTAGAGACGGGGTTTCACCATGTTGGCCAGTTTGGTCTCGAACTCCCAACCTCGGGTGATCTGCCCACCTCAGCTTCCCAAAGTGCCGTGATTACAGGCATGAGCCACTGTGCCCAGTCCTTAGCACCACTTTAATGGTCAGCTATAGTCTCCATGACAACAAACCAGCGAATAATTGAGTAGATGAAATGTTTGCCTCCCGCAAAGACTGGGAAGGGGGTGTTTTAGAACACAATTTGTAATTGTATAAATGTTATCTGATGCAAATATGAGTTAGATGGGAACTTTTTTTAACTGAACAGAATGACAAGGCCAAATGTTGGTATGTGGAGCAACTGGAAATCATAACTTACTGGTGGGAATGCAAAATGGTGTAATCACTTTAAAAACCAATTTAGGCCAGGCGCAATGGCTCACGCCTGTAATCCCAGCACTTCGGGAGGCTGAGGTAGACAAATGACTTGAGCCCAGGAGTTCAAGACCAGCCTGTGCAACATGGTAAGACTGTATCTCTATAAAAAACAAACAAAAGTAACTGGGCATGGTGGTGTACCTGTAATCCCAGATACTCAGGAGACTGAGGTGGAAGGATCACTTGAGCCCAGGAGGCAGAAGTTAAAATGAGCCAAGATTGTGCCATTGCACTCCAGCCTGGATGACAGAGCAAGACCCTGTCTCAAAAAAAAAAAAAAGAAAGAAAGAAAAGAAAAACAACTTAGCAATTTATTACAAAGTTAGACATACATTTATTATATAACTCAGCAATTCCAATCCTAAGTATTTACCCAAGAGAAATAAAAATATGTCTAACACAGGCCGGGCACAGTGGCTCATGCCTGTAATCCCAGCACTTTGGGAGGCCAAGGTGGGTGGATCACCTGAGGTAGGGAGTTCAAGACCAGCCTAATCAACATGGAGAAATGCCATCTCTACTAAAAATGCAAAATTAGCCAGGTGTGGTGGCGCATGGCTGTGGTCCGAGCTGCTTGGGAGGCTGAGGCAGAAAAATCGCTTGAACCCCAGAGGTGGAGATTGCTGTGAGCCGAGACTGCGGTGAGCCGAGATCACACCGCTTTACTCCAGTCTGGGCAACAAGAGCAAAACTTCATTTAAAAAAAAAATGCTTACACAAAAACTTGTAAGTGAATATAGCTTCAAATTGAAAAGAACCCAAATGTCTCTCAACAAATAAATGGATAAACAAATTGTGATACATCTACTATGGAGTACTACTCAGCAGTGAAAATGAACAAACCCCTAGAACATGCAACAACATGGAAAATCTCAAAAGCAATGTGTGAACAAAAGAAGACAAACACAAAAGAAACATACTGTATGACTGCATTTATGAGAAATTCTAGACAAGACAAAGCTAACATATAATGGCCAAAAGCCAGTCGGTAGTTACCTAAGGCTACCTAAGTGTGGGAGAAGTTGACTGCAATAGGACTTCAGGGAACTTTTTGGGGTAATAGAAATGTTCTATATATTGATTGGGGTTGTGGTTATACCAGTATATATATTTGCCAAAACTCATCAAGCTGAATATTTATGATGGTAGATTTTATTCATGAAATGATACCACAATCAAGTTGACAGACGCTTTGGGAACATACGCAAGGATTTTAACTGCAGCATTAATGTAAGGGCAAAACATTTGGGAAACCGTCCATGAACGGGAGCGTGTTCCAGCTCTCTGCAGTTCTTTACTGTCAGAATGGCAAACTTTCGGAAGGAGATGTAGCTGATGCTGATGTGACCCTCTAATGCCCCCTGGGCCTTTACTAAGAGCTGCACTTCTCTTCCTGGAGACCCTCTGGTGGCTGAAGCATGAATGGTGGAGGCCAGAATGCTGGAGGATCAGTACCCCCGAAGTACCCCTCATCCGGTGTCTGACAGGAGTTGGTGTATAGTGCCCCAGCTCCCTCTCCTGCAGGTGGAGTAACTCTGAAGTGGGTATATCTCCAGAGATCCCCTGCAGAATTGCACTCCAGTTACTCATAATGGTAACTGGCTTCATGATTCTCATTTGAACTCGCCTTCCTCCCTTCCCTGTCTCATCCATCTCCTCCCCTACCAGTGTCTTCTGCATCTCCTAAATAAACTATTTCACCTGAATCCATGTCCAGGGGCTGCTTCTGGTGAACTCAAATTAAGACCAGTGGATAATACCAAGGGTTGGTAAAGATAAGGGGAAATGGTGGGAGAGAGAGTGGGACAGTGGCTGTTCTGCAAGCATCTGTCGTTCTTGGCAAAGCAAGTCCTTACAAAATTTTAATGTAGGACGATCGGGGACGTGTTTGAGGATGTCCACTGTGGCGCTATTTACAGTAGTGGGAAATTGTGTGTGATCTAGGTGTCCACGACTAGGAGAATGGATAAAGAGAATGTGAAGGATGTAAACAGTGGCTACACGTTTGGCTGCTACCTTTGGCAACATGGCTGGATATTAACAACAGTGATGGGGTGGCAGGAGGGAATGTACAAAAATGAATAACATTAAACATACATTCAAAACATCATCTGGTTTTATAGAAAGCACATACAGGCTGGGTGCAATGGCTCACAACTGTAATCCCAGCACTTTGGGAGGCCAAGGCAGTAGGTTCACTTGAGCCTAGGAGTTCAAGACTAGCCTGGGCAATATAGTAAGACCCCATCTCTATTTTTTTAAAGTTATCTATGCCATACCACACTGAACACATCTCGTCTGATCTTAGAAGCTAAGCAGGCTCAGGCCTGGTTAGTACTTGGATGGGAGACCCCTTTAAAATACTGAGCACTGTAGGCTAAAGAGGAGGGGGAAAGACCCATACAGGCATGTATATCAAAAACATGAGTAAGGTAGTTGTCTTTCTCATTCATGGTTCTTCCCCACTTCCCCACCAGGGGACACTTTACAAATGTCTGGAGACATTTTGTTGTCATAACTAGGGAGTAGGATGCTATAGGCAACTAGCGGGTAGAGTCCAGGAATGCTGATAAACATTCTATCATTCACAGGACAGGCCCCGTGGCCCTAATGTCAATAGTGCCAAGTTTAAGAAGCCCTGCATTCCCCAGCCCCCAGCACAACATTGCTGAAAGAATTATGAATGAATGAATGAATGAATGAACGAATGAAGAAATGACGGTGGCCCCGATCAGCTGGTAGCAACTGGAACAGAGAGACGCAGGAGGATTCCTGTACGTTTTGGAGGTGACTTACACATAATTTAAGGTGATAGCCCCCATCTTTTCCAGGAGAGGGTGCGTTCTGTCATTGCTTGGAGCTGGGCACGATCTCATCCATTTAGGGCCCCAGTCACCCTCCAGCCCGACTCCTCACTTCCCCCGACCACTTCCCCCAGCTTGGGGGTCCTCTGAACTGCCCAGAAGCCAGGGTGGTACCTTCGGTCGAGGAACTTTGCATGGCCAGGGTGGTTCCTTCAAGAAAGGAACTTTGCATGGAGTCTGAATGGAGCAGGCCTGCGGAAGGGAAACCGCTGACCACAGACGGGCCTGGAACGTTCGGGCAGCGGCGCTGGGGAGGGCCGGGCCAGAAGGGAGGGGTTGGAGCGGTGGGAGAAAGGGATCATGATTATTTCCGGGGTAGGGTAAGACCTTTCCAGGGTGGGGTTGGAATCTTTGAACACTGCGGCAGGAATCCTTTGGTAGGATCTGGACGGCAGGGTTGGAATCTTTGGATCGGCAGGATAGACCCCTGGGGATTCAAACTCTTAGGCGGAGGGAGGTTGGGATCGCGCAGGAGCAGGAGCCCTGGGGTTAGTGTCCTAAATCTTTAAGGCACGGTTAGAATCCATTGAAGAGAGAGTTCGAATCCTTCCGTCGGACGGATTAGAATCTTTGGAGGCAAGTTAAAAATCTTTTGGCGGGCGGGGTTAGCATCTTGGGAGCATTCGAGCAGGTGTTGGGGTTTTTAGACAGGAGGATTCGAATCCCTGGGGGCGGGATTTGGGATCCGTTGGGAGACCGTGGTAGGACGCTGGGCGGTGGGATTACCTGCCTTGAGGGAGGTGTTGGGGAGGGGGGTTTAGCATCCTTGGGGGAAGCGTTAGAAGCCTCCGATGGTTGGTGTTAATTTAATTTAATTTATCCTTGGTGGCAGGTTTGGGATCCTGCTCGCAGGATGCGGAGGTTATGACCCTCGAGGAGAGGGTTAGGATCCCAGGTTGGCGTCTGAGTCTTCGGGGCGGCGTTAGGACACTCGGGGCGGGGTTAGCATAGCTCAGGGCGCGGCCAAGGCGCCCAGATGGCCTACGGGCGCCACCGCGTCCCCGTCCCAGCCCGGGAGCACATCAGAGGCTTAAAGGCGAGTGGGAGGGGACCCAGAAGCGGCGCAGGGCGAGAAAAGCCCGCGGCACCAAAGCCCCTCGGAGCGCCGTCCCCATCTCCAGTTCTAGAAAGTCAGTTTCCGGGCACTGACACCCAGGAACCCCAGGGGCTGCCGAGCTGGGGGGGCGCTCGAGCTGCGAGGATCCGGGCTGCCCGCGAGACGAGGAGCGGGCGCCCAGGTGAGTGCCGCGCACAGGGGACCGGGGACACCCAGCCCTCGAGGGGTCCCACGCGGCGGAGGGAGCCTAGGGTCCCGAGCAGGGCTGGAGGTGGGTGCGGCTGGGGGCAGCAAGGGGAAACGGGAGCGTCGGGGGAGCCGCGGGGAGCCTGTGACGTGAAGGGTCGCCAGCGAGTGGAGGGTGCCCAGGGGAGGGGCGGCACTTCTGCGGACTGCTGGGTGCCCGGGGGAGGGACGCTAGGGCTGGTGCAGTGACTTTATCCACCACTTCTTTGGGTCGTCCAGGTTCCCCTTCTACGGGAAAAAATATATATATATATATTAAAAAAAAAAAAAAACAAGAAGGAAGGGATGGGGTTTCACAGGGCCTGGGAGGGGAAGGCCCTTACGGTTCCCGGTGGGGGCCGGGTCACGCAGGGTTGGCAGCCAGCTTGGGGAAGGGGGCAGCTGGGCGGAGGCGTGACGTGCGAGCCACACCCAGGCCAGCTGCAGCTGGTCGGCTCTCTGCCCCTCCTCCCACAGCAGGTCCAGGTCAAACCCCCAAACCTCCTGGCCAAAGACCACTGCATGTGTGGGCTGTCACTTCCCTCCTTGTTGGACCAGTCATTCTCCCGCTCCGAATTCGTTTCCTCATCTGTAAAACGGGGCTATGAGTCTTTTCCTGCAAGGCTGCAAGAAACTGGAGTACGCGGAGAGGTGGGGCCTGTGAGAGACAGTTAGGCTAGTGGTTAGGGGAGGGGGATTCTAGGCGCAAACTGCCTGTAGGGCCTGGGGTAGAGGATCTGGTCTTTCTTTGCCTCCGTTTTCACAACTGCAGCATGGGGAGAGTAATAGCACCTCCTTCACGGGGTTGTTTAGAGGATTAATTGGGTACTGAAGACTCCGGGCCGGGTGACCCATGTCTGCAAATCCCAGCCTTTTGGGAGTCTGAGACAGATGGAGGTTTTCAGGTCAGGAGTTTGAGACCAGCCTGACCAACATGGTGAAATCCTGCCTCTACTAAAAGTACAAACATTAGCCAGGCATGGTGGCGGGCACCTGTAATCCCAACTACTCGGGAAGTTGAGGCATGAGAATTACTTGAACCTGGGAGGCGGAGGTTGCAGTGAGCCAAGATTGCACCATTGCGCTCCACCCTGGGCAACAGAGAGAGATTATTTAAAAAAATAAAAGGTACTGAAGGAAAGCACTGAGATTGCTGTCTGACGGTACACATGCTTAATGTATGTTAACATTGCCCTAGCTAGACACATGGCCCCGCGTTTTCAGACTTTAGCCTACATCAGCTTCACCCCAACTGCTTGTGAAAACACAGATTGCTGGGCCGAATCCTAGAGCTTCTGATTCAGTAGCTCTGTGCAGGACACAGAGAATCTGCTTCCCCTGGCAATGCTGCTGCTGCTGCTGATCCAGGGACCACACTTTGAGAACCACTGGTGTAGCCCATGCCTGGCACAGAGAAAGGCCTCCATACATATCAGTTGCCTTATTTGTGGTTTTCTCTTTATAGTCCTGTCAAAAAGGGTATTTTGACAGGTTAAAACACAGAAAAGTGAAGATAATAATACATTAAATAGCCCAGGAATCCACCATCCAGAATGAACAAATAATAGCATTGTGTTGTGTTTGCTTCCGATTTAAAAAAATTAATTTACTGGCCGGGTATGCTGGCTCATGCCTGTAATCCCAGCACTTTGGGAGGCCGAGGTGGGCAGATCACGTGGTCAGGAGATCGAGACCATCCTGGCCAACATGGTGAAACCCCGTCTCTACTAAAAATACCAAAATCAGCTGGGCATGGCGGCATGTGCCTTATAATCCCAGTTACTTGGGAGGCTGAGGCAGGAGAATCGCTATCACTTGAACTAGAGAGTTGGAGGTTGCAGGGAGCCGAGATCTGCCACTGCACTCCAGCCTGGCAACAGAGGGAGACTCTCTCCAAAAAAAAAAAATTAATTTACTAAAAGTAACAGAAAAAATGGAAGTCTCCCCACCTTGTACGGCTCTCAGTCCTGTTTCTCTCCCTCCCTAGGGGTAACTGCTGTCATGAGTTATAGTCCTTCCAGATTGTGCCTTTAAAAGTGTATTGTGTAGGCCAGGCACGGTGGTTCATGCCTGTAATCTCAGCACTTTGGGAGGCTGAGGCCGGTGGATCACAAGGTCAGGAGTTCAAGACCAGCCTGGGCAACATGATGAAACACTGCCTCTACTAAAAATACAAAAATTAGCTGGGCATGGTGGCACACACCTGTAATCCCAGCCACTCAGGAGGCTGAGGCAAGAGAATCGCTTGAACCTGGGAGGCAAAAGTTGCAGTGAGCCAAGATCACACCATCGCACTCCAGCCTGGGCAACAGAGTCAGACTCTGTTTTAAAAAAAAAAAAAAAAAGGATTGTGTGTGTGTATGTATATATAGAAACAACACATAGGACTGTTTTGTGTACGTTAAAAATTCTGTGTATGCAGTTGCTCATGCCTGTAATCCCAGCTACTTGGGAGGCTGAGGCAGCAGAATCGCTTAGACCTGGGAGGCAGAGGTTGCAGTGAGCCGAGATTGCGCCATTGCACTCCAGCCTGAGCAACAAGAGAAAAACTCCATCTCAAAAAAAAAAAAAAAAAAAAAAAAAGGTAACTATGAGAGCTTTCTGCAATTCTAAGAGGATAACAGAGGAGCATATTTCCCCCTTTTTATTATTAAGTTGTCAAAATATATCCAGGATGAGAAATAGAAAATAGAGGTCTAATTCATTCCTTCCGGCTGCTGTGGAGTATCCCAGCAGGTGACCACTCTACATTAATTCTCATTCCTCTGGATGAATACTCAGGTTGTTTCTAGGCATGCGCTACAGCAAGCAATATTGCCAGGAGTATCCTGATGTGTAGCCTTCCGCCTACGTACAAATGTTTCTTGAGGAAAACATCAAAAGGCTGGATGGCTCCCCAGGGAGGGCACCTGTCACCCTCCCCTTTGTGTGAGAGGAGTACTGAAGCCTGGAAGGGTCACCCGGGGACTCTGGGGCAGAGAATAGAGAAGAATGTTGCTTTGCTGACCTCCCAGCTGTCTCTAAACCAATGGCCCTTCTTCCAGGCTCATGTTCTCTGCTGTAAGGCACTTCACACTGTCCCTGGCACTTAGTAGGTGTTCAAAAAAATGGAAGCATGAATCTTTTGAGGGAACGGTAACTGATATTTTCATATATCTTTATGTAGTCTTTTCTTGCACTTTTAAATTAACATCATTAATATAATGCTGCACATAGGTTATTTTTATCCTACTTATTTGCTTAGTATTACATCGTAGCATTTTCCAGGTTATTAGAATGTCCTTAAATTTTTAGTGGCTGTATAATATTCCACTGTTTGCATGTATTATAATTTGTTTAACCTTTCTAGCACAGCAGTCTTTTATATAATTTCACCCAGGCTAGAGTGCAGTGGCACGATCTCGGCTCACTGCAACCCCCGCCTCCCCGGTTCAAGAGATTCTCTTGCTTCAGCCTCACAAGTAGCTAGGACTACAGGCACCCGCCACCACGCCCGGCTAATTTTTGTATTTTTAGTGGAGACGGGGTTTCGCCACATTGGCCAGGCTGGTCTCAAACTCCTGACCTCTGGTGATCCAACCACCTTGGCCTCCCAAAGGGCTGGGATTACAGGCGTGAGCCACTGCGCCTGGCCATGTCTGGCTTCTTTTACTTAACATAATGTTTTCCAAGGTTCATCCACATGGTGGCAAATATTTAAATATTTAAATATAAAAAGTACTTTATTCCTTTCGTGGCCAAATAATATTCCATTGTATGAATATTCCACAATGTATTTACCCATTTATCTGCAGATGGAATTTGGGTTGTTTCCTCATTTTGACTATTTCGAATAATACTGCTATGAACATGCATTTGCCTACATGTATTTGTTTGAGCACCTGTTTTCAATTCCCTTGGGTATATACCCAGAAGTAGAATTACTGGGTCATAGAAAAGTTCTATCTTTAACTTTTTGAGGAATTACTATGCTGTTTTCCACTGTTTTACATTCCCACCAGTAATATAGATGGGTTTCAATTGGCTTCACATCCTTGCCAATGCCTACTCTGTTTATGTTTCATTATTATTATTACCATTCTGATGGGTACGGAAAGCATGAATCTTAATCTCATGCCAGGCTGCCCTCTTGGGGCTCCTACCCCAGAAGGTAAGGAGAAAGGTGTACATATTCTAAGGACCAGCCAGGGCTTGGACTTTCAACACTTCTAGAACGTAAATTCTATAAGAACACAAACATGTTTGTCTTATAAGCCACTGTATCTTCTAACACCTGGCACCTGGCACATAGTAGGGCCTCAAAAAACACTTAGTGGACAAATGTAATGAATGTTGGACAACTGCTTCCTTCCCTTGCCTGAGATATTTCAGCTGCCCTCCCCCAGCCTCCCCCACCCACAGTGATTATTTTTAATTAGTTGCTAACATTAAAAGAGCTCACATAATCTGGATTTCTGTCTCCTAAAAAATTAGAAGAGTTAGCAGCCCTGAGACTAGAACCTGCGACTCCAATGCTCCTCAGACAACCTCAGTGGAGCTGTGGGTTGCCCTGGGTGCTGGACCCAGGCTGCCCAGCTTGCATGGCCCTTGCCAGGCCCACTTTCCTCATGGGTAGAACCCTCCAGTTCCCTAGAGTCATTTGAGTTTTCATAAATCACCCTTCGGGTCATGACAAGGCTTCCTTTTTTATAGAAAAGGAATATGAAGGTCTGGGCACGCCGGCTCACGCCTGTAATCCCAGTACTTTGGGAGGCCAAGGCAAGTGGATTACGTGAGCTCAGGACTTCAAGACCAGCCTGGGTAACATGGCAAAATCCTATCTCTACCAAAAAATACAGAAATTAGCTAGGCATGGTGGCACACACCTTTGGTCGCAGCTACTTGGGAGGCTGAGGTAGGAGGATTGTCTGAGCCCACAAGGTGAAGGTTGCAGTAAGCTGACATTGTACCATTGCA